AACTTGCTAACATTGCGCATGGATTTATCTGGCACACATAATTTTCATTTTTCATAAGCATTGCATAGAATGGAATACCTTTTGCTCCCGTATGAAAAAGGTTTCCTTTTGAGGTTGGTCGCTAGGTTAAAAAGTTTACATATCGGGTCTTAAAAACATTTTTTGTTTTAACTGAGGAAGCAAATGAACAACATGCTCCTAAGGGTTCTACAAATCTTTTCATTCTAATTTTTTTTATTTTATTGTCTTTCTCGATTTTGAGAGGTGTTATTTTGCAAGCATAGTTTTTTTCTAAATTTTGGTTTACGAGGAGCACGCGAGGTCGAAGTGATAAAAAAAATATGTTTTTTTTTTTTCAAATGTTTTACACAAAATTGATTTGAATTTGATTTTTTTAGCAGCTGGATAAATTTGGTCTTTGACTTTGAAGAGTTGGTCAGAGTGATTGCGTGGAGGCCGCCAGCGTGCATGGCTTTTTGATGACGTGGATAAATTGCTGACGTGTTATTGAGGTGAGGGTTCCATAATTAGGCTTGTGAGTGGGCCCGCTTTTGTGAAATTTCATGCGGTGGTGCATTCAAGGGTATAGCATGCTCCTGCGGGATCATACACTGTATAACAGCTCCCTTGGGCAAAATAGCTACTTGAGAGAGATTTTTTAGTTGAAAATTTTGGGGACTATCAAAGTATGGATGATTATTTTGAAATTTCAGATTTTGAGTTCTTCAACATCTAGATCTTTCCCTCTAAAAATTGGGTGCTAATTGTGCAATTTTGCGATGCCATTCTAGAGATTTATTGCCATCATAATTGGAGCATTTTCTCAATTATTTAAGGTCATACTGAGTTTTAGGCATTACATCCCTAAAAATTGGGATTTAAAAATTGTATTTTTAAAACTTTGCCTGAGTAAATGAACTGTATTCTCCTGCATGAGTAGGAAATCTTTTATATGTAAAACATTGTAATACTCATTTTTTGAAAGTAGTTTGCGGAAATTGAATTCTAGTTGTGACAGGTCCAGTGAATCACACTGATTCTCTAATGTGAGAATCAACCAAAATTGGAATTGAATTCTAGTTGTGACAGGTCCAATGAATCACACTGATTCTCTAATGTGATAATCAACCAAAATTGGGGAGGAAACGAAGAAAACTATAGGGCGCACTAGTTGCAAAGAAAATTACATGTGCGCTAGCTGCAAAGAAAACTACATGCGCTAGCGCGTATGTAGGCTTTCGAGCCGGTGAAGACAAGTAAAAAACTGGATGCGCGTTAGTGCAATGACTTTTTAAATAAAAAAAATCTAAAAAAATAATTACAATTCTAATGGGTAGGAAACAAACAATTTGGTTGGTCTGAAATGCCTAGTTCCATAAGGAGCTCACTTGGTTCTCTAACATACCCAAGTGAGTCCATCTAGGTTAGACTGATTCCCTGTCCGGATCAAGGACGCCCGATCCACACCACTGCTTTCTTTAAAAATAATGTTCCAAGGTTAGTTATTGCATCAAGAGAATGAATTGCTATCCTTCAAAGTAAGTTGTTGCTAACCCTAGCTCGGCCCTAGTGCATATTAGGCCAGCCCACCCCTAGCCCTATCAAGGTCAGACTGGGCTGGACCGTGCCTAGAATGGCTCACTGCCCCCCTATCTTCAGGCCATGGTTGCTTGGCCCTGAGCCTGCCCTCAGGCCACATTTTGTGGCTAGGCTCTAATTTTATAGGGCCATCCGAGCCACCCTGGCTATTGTCACCCCCAGCGACCACTCCTCCCAAACACCTTTGCCACAATAGTTCAGGGATTTCCATGACAATTTCTATTTATTAAGAAGCATTGTGGCGTTGATAGGAGTGGCAAAGGACCGGGCTTAGCCCCGCTTGCCCCTGGCCCTAGTCCCCATGCACCTGGCCAAGGCCCAATCTAACTTGAGCAAAAAAATGCCTTGGCCCAAGCCCGGCCCTAGCCTCATCAAGGCTGGGCCGGGCAAACCAAATAGAATAAAAACAAGAAAACAAAAGAAAAAAAGGGTCGGGCCGAGCCAAACCAAGCCAGCATTGGCCCAAGCATGGTCCGGCCTACCCTCGGGCCATGGTTGCCTTGCCCTATGCCAGCCCTCGAGCCACATTTCGTGGCCAGGCCACCCGACCTATTGCCCCCCAAAGGCGTTGAGGTTATCATGCATGGGTTGGTAAAGAAATATGTAAGTCTATTAAGTGCATTGCCCGCTGTTAAAGCTTTATTGCTACTTCGCAGTTTAGTAATAGGTGATTGAGCAGGTGATCTGAGGCGATAAGTTTCAAATGAATTTCATTTTGAAGCGATCACCAAGATCAAAGATATTCAAACCTTTATTAATGAGGCATGTGTATAGCAAGAAGCCACTGCGCATTTGGTATCGAAATGATCAAAGCCCACAACATATCCTTACTAGCTAAACATAGAAGTGGAAAAAAAATTAATGAGAAAAAATACATTTGAAGAGATCTGAAGCTATAAATAGAGGTTTTTCCCCTCTTGGAAGCGGTGTGGAAAAACTAGGGCAAACCAACTCGGACTCGCCAAAATAGCTCGGATTTCGCACCATAGCGAGTTCAAGTATCTCCAAGTTCGGTGGTCTGACTTGGTGATCTTAATATATATATATATAAATAATGAACAGTGATTGCGCCTACCTTTATCACTGTCTAAAGTTCATCGCACGGTCACGATTGTCCGGTAGTATTTTTTTTTACAAATCGGAATGATTTGAAAATTGGAGTGTGTGTAAAAAATAGGTGAATTAATAAAAAAATATCAAAAACATATTTTACATGAAATAAATTGATCAAAATACCTCTGAAAAATTTCAATGGTATTTTGGTCAATTTTTTTTTACTAATTATTATTTTTTATATTTTTATTAGGTACACCTCACTAATATGTATACACGCTCCAAATTTCAGATAATTCCGAGTTGTAAAAATAAAAATAAAACACTACTAGAAAATCGTGACCGTGCGATAAACTTTTGATGGTGATGAGGGTAGGCGAAATCACTGTTCATTTTCGCTTATAGGCGTTTTGTAGTATCTTTCTATATATATATATATATATATATATAAATAAAGAGAGAGAGAAATCCAAAAAAAATGAGTTATTTATTTGTAATATGCCTTTTTACGTTTTCTATTTATTTCTTGCAAAGAATGGAAAATGCGTGGCATTTCCTCTTCTTTTTGGATTATTTCTAAAGTAGCCTCGACACAAATTGATTTTTTTTCAGAAACCATCTTTTCACTACTTTTTTACTTCAGTTAGATGTATTTTGTTTAAATTTATTGTAAATATATTTTTCTACTTTTTGAAGTTCTTTGTATTTTTCTATTTATTTAACACTTTTTAGCTTGCCAAGACCTTGCCCAACTAAGGCTCAGTAACTCAGACCGGCCCGAGTTACTCAGCTCGGCCATGGGGCGAGTCCGGTCTCCGAGTCATGATTTTGTGCACTGCTTTGAATTATACATATCAAATGCTCACACTGATCAATAACGCAGAGCAAATGGATCAAACACTACCATTTATCACAGGACATAGCAAATGGGTCATTGGAGATGGTTCCCATCACCCGTATCAATTGTGGCTTGGCACTAGGTTCAATAGAGGCACTGTGTATGATATGCATATGGAGGATATCATAATGGATTTGGGGCTCGAAATAGTCATTACTATTTCACAATTTTGGGATGATAATGATTTTCTCAACCCCTAGAGGTACGAACCTATCGCGAACGTGGAGTCTGAACGAAGAAGCTGTTCTATTGGCATATTCGCTTCGGTGTTTTTTTCGGTTTGTTTAGAAAAATGAAACAATCCGATATTTTGATTATTCCCATTCGTTGATTAATCCCCAATTGAATAGTATATAATCCCCGATTGAATTCATACGTGGTGAAGAATTGTGTAAACTATTCCCATTCATTAGATGTCAAATTGAATAATTTGTTGTGAGTTACAAAATTTGAGAATTTTTTTTCGGAACATTATGTCGAATCAATTACACTCTTACAACCACCCATTTTGAAATCAAAGGGGCAAAAATGATTATGACCTCTTTATGTAAAAGGTAAATGGTATGTGTGTAGATAATTCTATAAAAATTTACTTACTCACAAAAATCTATATAAATTTATCTAAATAAAGAAAAAGGTGTAGAATGAAACTATTTACCTCTAGTACAAAGTGGTCACAATTAATATTGACAATTGGCTATGAAATTGGATAGATGCATTTATTCTATGGACCTAATTTCTATGCAGCCAATTTTGTATATGTAGAAATGAGGGCCTATTAATAAATCTATTTTCAAATGGATTTTTGGACTTAATTTTTAAGGATATGTAATATCTAACATGGAGATCATGAATATGAAAAATAAGTAAATTTTTAAAACTAAAAATAATAATTCTAATAAGAAAACATTTGGACCGTTAATTTCCATTGTGTTTAGATGGAACATATACTTGCATCCATTTTAAGAAAGGTACTTTACACTTTTTTCACTGCATATGCAGCCATGCGGTCTAGCCCGCATGAAACAATTTTCTTTCTTCTAAAGTTTAAACTTCAAAATAAAATTTATTGAGCTTTATGACAATTTTCTTTCTTCTAAAGTTCAAACTTCAAAATAAATTTTATTGAGCTTTATGACATACCGACGCTATCATATTTTACATTTGATAGTTATAAGTACTTGTGATCTTTTTTTTTTTTTTAAATGTTTTTAAACAGGTGCGGATGTATTTGTACGAAAGATAAATAATATCATTATATGTAATATCTTAAATAAAAAAAGCTAAAACTAAAATAAATTTTTTTTTTTGTTGACTATTTTCCGACCAGTGGATTATGTTAGATTCAATCGGAACCCTTCGAAAGTTTGCGCACTCTCGAAGAGTACGCTATTGCGCCCCTTGAATGATTCCCTTGAAAACTCAAGTAGTGGAAGGCGGGAAGAACTAAGAGGGAAGAGAGAGAAAGGAAAAGGGATAGAGAGATAGTGAGGGAAGAGGGCCGTAGAGAGAGAGAGAGGAAGGAGACGGTGGGAAGAACGAGAGAGCGTCCATGGCGGAGACATCAATGGGGCGTCCTGTAGCGGCTTCTCTTAAATTCGTTTTAGAGAGAGAGAGCGCGTCCATGGCGGGGATACCAAAGGGGCATCCTGTAGCGGTTATTGTTGAACTCATTTTAGTGAAATTCGAAACGGGAGATGCAAACCCTAAAATACCTCCTCCTGTTTTCACCTCTCTACCCCCTCTTCATTTCTTTGTCCGGCTTCAAAGAGCACCATGCCAGAAAAGCACCAGGTTTGAATCGTCCATTGCCAAACTTTCCTGCTTTCTCTCTCTAGATGTTCTGCAATAACGTTTCTATCTCTATCACTGTTCCTCTAAATTTCTCTCAAATTTTCATTGGATGTAAACTCACAATAGTTGTCTGATTGTTTTGGATCACATATATTACTGGTTTCCACATTATACTAAACTTCTGTTCACGAGGGTTATGTTTCCATTTAGGCTTGTATATTTAGATGGTAAATTTGATCAGCTCAGTATCTCCTTCCCTCAATTTTTGTTTTTATTATTTTAATTTTGTGTGGAACTCTAATGGTAGTGTAATCTGTAAAATTTGCAGCTATATTTTGTTAACCTTGAGATTATCAATGGATGAAACAATACTCATCAATTGAATTATGGAGTCCACTTTGGGCTTAAATCTATTTTGCATCGACAATTAGACATGTGTAGCTGTGTTAGAGTCTAACACTGAAACGAGTATAAAAAATGCCCAACTTGAAATTGGCATTTCCGACCTGAATGTCCTTAGACCAAAAATACTTTATTCTGAGATTTCAAGCGAACATGCTAGGAAGTGTCCAGGATTCTAAAGTATCAGACACGAGCTCACGACATTTGTGTGTCGATGCACTCAAAAAACATTGACATTCATGTCCATGTTTGACAGGCTTACATACAGTTGAAAGAGTTGACATACACAATCCAAGAGATACAATACAATGATAGCACACTCCAACAATATAAAATCATGCACATGATCTTCCCCATATTTGCGATAATATTAGCCATATACCTAATTCCTCTCAAACTCTACTCAGTTTCAATTGGTGAACGTTTATTGGCGAGAAGTTGATGGTGCTTGGTGGTCATGGCCTTAGCAAACCAATCAGTTGTTATGAGTTCGTGCGAAGATAATTGGAAAAAGGTCAAGTGGTTATTAACCAGATTTCAGTGAACCTCAATGTTTCTGATCCACTCACTTAACATTGGACCATCCATATAGAACAAAGGTCATAATGAATGCGACACAAGTCAAATTTATGCCCATATCTTGAAGATGGGTATGAAGAGAAATTGCATCACTAGTTGCAGAAGACATCACCTTGCGTTTGAGATCACCGCTAAACTTAGAAATATAATTTAGAAACAATGTTTTGTTTCGTAGTCTTCTTAGAAACTCACAATAGCCCATAGCAGGCATATGCATGTTGACACATTCCACCTAAGCAGCACAGGGTAAGCATATATGGACCAGTTTGGATGGACCGCTTATTTATAAATAATCCTCTTTTTTTGCACTGCATACTTGAATTAATAAAAGGCATGGTATGGTCCACCCCATTTATTCATAAGTCCCATTGTCTAACCTTGCCTGAAAACAACCATTTCTCTGCCCCACCTTCTTAAAAACACTTGTTTCTCTGCCCCACGTACTTGTAATTTGTTAAAAAACCTCTATTGACCTCAATTATAGATGTCCTTAATCATTAGGATGTCCTTAATCATTATACTTAAGGGAGCGTCGACACTGTCCCTGATCTGAAGATTGTATTTGAGGTCGTAGAAATGAGCAATCTTGCGTTGAATGAAGATAATCTTTGGTATTAGGGAGGGTGAATATACTTAAATTGACTATCAATGTGAGTACATGGCTAATAACTGGATGAGAAATGGTAAGGTAGATGGGAGTATGGGACCTCGCACTAGCTCAAACACTATTTCCCATTAAAGAATTTCTCGTTAAATTTAATTCAAGAGGTGTGTGTGTGGTGTGTGTTTGCAACAACATGATATAACTACCAAGTGATTCACCTGAACGTCGATCAGATAATGAAGATGTGAGATATCTTCACATGAAACTAATGATGGATGCAATTGATGCTTAAGGAGAGATGTAGTACGAAAGTAAGGTTGCCTTAAAAACAGAACTATATCATCTGCACAGACAAGCAAGCTGACACTGTCACTGGGAATTGCTGAAGGAATAGGGTGCATTGTAATTGCTTTGTTTGAACCAACAGAGTGGATGATGCCTATAAGTTTCTTCAACCTCAACTTGATGTAATCCTCCTCCCTATATGAAGGTATTCGGAACCTTTTCTTATGCATACAAGTCTACCAAGATGTAAATAACTGAGCTCACAAGAAGTCCATAGATCAACATAGTTTGCTGCTCTCCTGAATGGAGGTTGCTAGGGATCATTGATAATCATTCTGGCTTCTTACTGTGGGGTAATTGAAAGGAAGGAATGGACAATAAGAGAAAAGAACTGTGTATGTTGTTTACAGTATTCTAGAACCCCCAGAAGAGTTCCAGAAATAAGTATTTAATACCAACATGGAAATAAGTTGAAACATTAGGATTGATTGACAGTCATGATACATAACTTTTCTAAATTTTAGCCTTTTCCGTCTGCATTAATGTTTGGTGACATTTTGATCTCAATTTTCAGGGGCCATATCTTCGCAGACGGGAAAGTGCATTCTTTGATTTGTTACGAAGGGATTCAAAGCTAATGGACCAAAACCTTTCAGGGGATCCAGATGGAACAGGAGAAATGAAACCAAAAAAAGCATCTGGGCATAAGCCCGAAAGCATATCAGCTTCAAATCCTGTGCTAGAAACATATATCCACTCATTACGTGAGGGGCAATATAAAACTTCACTACCCTCACAATTTTTGCTTCCCCCAAATTTGGGTCCTTGGGAAATTAATTCAAATCAAAAGGATATCAGTTCACAGAGTTTGTCAAAGTCGAATACATGGGCAGGGGAGGTAGGAGAAAATGGTCTAGAGAAGATGGACAAAGTAGATAATTCAATGGATGGGTTTGCCAAAGTCATTGACGCGAACAAGGAGTTCCAACATGTGAACAAGAAGAAGCCAAAACCAACAAAAAGTGCACTCCCTCAATCAGCAGCGTCATATTACAGTGGGGTCAAGGTGCAAGTCGAAGTTCTGGCATTATGTGATGGTGTCAATGAACTAAACAAATATTTGAAAGATGGAAGGGCCAGACTTGAAGCGGGTGTTCCGGGAAAGTACTTGCATGTTGTCATTGAACCACTGCTTTCTGGTATCTTCTGTCATTCTCTTCATTATTAATATATAGCACAATTGGGTTTTAAGATTTCTATCATTAGGATGTATTTTATAGTCCAATGGATTATGAAGTAAATTAAACCCAAAAATATTATTGCATTTTTGTAAATAATTGCAAATGCATCACTGTTTCTAAAAATGATGGCGTTTTCTTTTTTTGGGCAAGTAAATGATGCTGTTTTTCACAACCTAAAGACAGACACATTTTGACATAAATAAGATCAATTGAAATGGCAAAATACTCTGTTTTCAAAACCAACACGCTCAGTTTCTTGATATTCCTGTATTGAAACATGAGAAACTAAGCATCCATCATTTTTGATGCATAGGAAATGTTTTCTTATCATAGATGTTATTAGCACTTATATTTGTAAATTTCTTATTTAGTAAATATGCATAAATATAATATGGGATTGTTTACAAAGAGTCTGTTTATCTTTTGTACATAGAGGTCACAATCATTCCTACACTTTAGATGTCAATTGGATGCCTGAGGGGTGAGTCACAAAGTGCGAGATGTTTTTTTTTTTGGAACTTTGTGTCTATTCAATGACACTCTTACAATCACCCATTTTGAAATTTAAGGGACAAGAATGATTGTGACCTCCATGTACAAAAGATGAATGTTATCTTTGATTTAATTCTGTTAGTTCGCTTTTTTCTCTTTGGTTCACAATGGCAGGAAGAGAGGGGGGGGGGGGGAGAGGGGATGGGGGAGGGGGGAGATTAAGGTGAAGCAACGATACCTACTTATCTAAAGTAACAAAAACTTTTGCCTTCTACAAACACATATATTATTTGTGTGTGTGCATGCGTCCGCATGTGCATGTACTTTTGTGTGTGTATGTGTGAAGTCCACTTGATGATAGTGCATGTACTTTTGTGTGTGTATGTGTGAAGTCCACTTGATGATAGTGCATGTACTTTTGTGTGTGTATGTATGAAGTCCATTTGATAAAATTCCTTGTCTTAGAACCTATTCATTTGTTTGTCCGACAGGTGTTGGACCCATTATATCAACCATCATGTATGCATTTTACTTGAGCACAACAAAAGATGATAACCAGCTCTGCACGATGCCTGTCATTAATATGAAAAGGGAAGATCTTGCCTTGTGCAATGAGCTTGTGTGGTTACTTGATTCATGCCGTATTGACAAGTCATCGTTGATTTTCATTGATGAGGTGTGTAACATTCTCCATAATATTAACACAGCATGCTGCTCTGTAGTATTATTATTTTGAGTTATGTGCTTGTCCATCATCTCTTTCCATGATGAGTTATCATTTGTCTCTGGCAATGTCAATATCCATATCTCATCATAGACATTGTCTTGAAATTCTTTTTATTTGGGAAAGTATAATGGGAACCAATGGACTATTGATCAATCACTCCCGATTGAAATGTTGGGGAGTAGGACTCCATTGAGGTCATGTTCTGTTCTGGCGGGTCCTATTATCTCTCCATCACAATTTATGATTTCTTTGGACAGTCATTCCCTCGATGGACAATAGTTTCCTATAGTCTTGTATCAATTGCCCATTTACTAATCAAAATTACTAATCAAAATGAAAATGCTGAGAAGTGATTAGCCTTATTGTCGTGTAAGTGATCTTGTCTTTGAAAACCAGAGCAGATTGATCTTTCATACTATGATTTATATGGGAGTCTCAAACTGGTCCTCGTGAATGGTCATGAACTTCCCACCTCCCTAGAGGTAATGCTGAATATCGGTACTTATTGCAACAATTTTTGTCCAGTGAATCTTGCAATTTGATTGCCCTTCAATGTGATAGTATATTATCTCTTTTAGAATTTGAAGGAGTCGGTGGTGGAAATATTCAACCGCAAACAGGTCTGTTTTTATCTTTTGTGATAGGTGACTTATTTCATCCAGCCTGCATGAAACCATCTAACTTGTTTCTGTTCATGCGTGACAGGATGATTCTCTATATCCTTGGGTGGAGACTGTCACAGTGGTAGAGGTGTATTATCCGGAACTATTCTTCTTTTAAGTGGGAGGAAGAACTATTTAATTTCAAATAGTTATGGCCAATGATTTGTCTTTAAAATTTCAGAATTTTGTTTGTTATGTTGAAATTGTTTATTTTAGAGAAGCTATTTGAAATGGGAAAATATAATATGATCCCTATGGTCCTAAGATATCCATATGGATATGGACACTGATATGAAGAATGGGGATGCAACTTGGCACATATCCAAATTTAGATTGGGGTGCTGATGTAAGTATCCTATATAACACAATTATTAGAGCATTTATAAAGTAGAAACACATACATCCAATTCATAGATGGGTATAAAATGTCATAAATGCATAATATTGCATTTGATTCATATTTTATTTTATTTTCTTAATAGTTATGTTACACATACTAGAATCCTAGTATTATCCGTTATCAATATTGGTTCCAACACAGTAGGAAACCAGCATGTTAAACATATGCAAGTATATGTGCATCATGTTATGATCATGGTACCCTGTGGGTATCACTGTTCATTCAGTTTGTTGGGTGGTGATGCAGGGAAAGTAGGGATATGCAATTCATTGATTGATTTATACAACCAATCCCGTCCAATGGCATCCAACCAGTCAATGGGATGGTGATCAGTTGTAGTCCTAAATGGATGATACTAGTCTATTTGCCCATATGACAAAAAGAAAAGTGTAATTTTTATGCTGGATTTAATCATAAAACTATCACAACGAGAATATACTTCATTAGTTTCATCAGATTGTACTTTTCATTTCTTCGTCTGGAATTTGTTAACAGGGTGTTTCTTGCTGCTCTGTTGTTGCTGAGAAGTTTGCCCTGACAGCACCTGAAATTTTGGCCGGTCGTGGATTCAGTCGATTCCTGGTACTGATTATTGTACCCATTCATAGCTTTTGGGAATTGATCAGGGCAGTATTTAGAATATGAACACGTGCACAGATCATGCATATGGTCCAGAAAATTGAAATATCATCGTAATACATTGATATGTTAATTTACTTTGAAGGACTATTTAATCCTGACCAATTTTAATATTTTCCTTCCTTTGGCCCTGTATTTTGGATGCCAGATTGGGTTGAATTTTCTCATATTTCAGGTCCGGATTGGTCCTTTGATAGAATTTTTTGGTCTGTATGATATGTGCAGGTGTTTATGCTATCATTTGATCATTTCCCAATATTTTACATACTATAAGATGATTAATAGTTTTTACATGCATGTAGCTTGCTGGCATCCTCTTAGACACAGAAAACCTGACTAATGCCCAATGCTCATCCAACGACAAATATATGGCAACATTGTTGATCAATGGCGCTGGTCGTTTTGGCTGCAATGGACTTTACATGATATGTAAGTTTTTATTTCAAAATTTCGTTTTTGTGATTTCTTTATTTGCAAGTTCACATTTATATAGGTGCAGGTAGACATACTTTTGAAATGTGTTTGTGCACGTGCGGACTCATGCTGTTCATACTGACTCTTATATATTCTACCTAGACACTAATTTGTGTCTTTTGAAATGGATATAATTGGCAAGCTACTATATTTGTGTTACACAAACATGGACACAGATATGAGATTCTTTGACATTAAAATTTTAAAATAAGATTTGGGGTCTTCACGTCATCATCGTAGCCTTTTCCCAATTAATTGGGGTCTTCACATATATTTTATTATTAAGTTATAAATGAAAAACTAAAATGTTTAACTAATAAAAAATTAAATTAAATATAAAGAATATTCAAGTTGTCCATGAATCATTATGATTTAACTTTCGTGTTTAGACAAGAAGAAGTGCAAATAAACGACATTTGAGATGGTTTCTTCTTTAGGTTGCCTCCTTCGTGTTTCTTCATTTCATTCTGTTCAATCATAGGTAATGATATACATGCATAGCTTACGTACATGATGGATTTATGCTTATTTTTTCTCTTTCTTCTTTTTGTTGGAGCTAAATAGCCTAATAAATCAGAATGCATGCAGTGACGTATAAACTTTTTGACACTCCTGAGATCAAAGTGAGGGATATCTTGTGCAAGGATTATAAAAGGTGGGCAGGAAGAACAGGTAGCGCCTTGGAGCTCTTCGTTCTTTTGCTTCTACATCCATTTTGATTCTTTTTTTTGAAGAAGTAAATTTTTATGGATATTCTGAGGATCTGATTTACAGATGGCCTCTCTGGTGTATTATTTAGTCAAACATGGTGATAACTGAATGTTTTGTTCCATGAAATTCAAGGCCTTTTCAAGTGTAAAGTGGTCTTAATTGTTGTTTTTGGAAGAAGAAATTGGTTCTTCCTGAAATAATTTTAATATTGAAGCAGGTAAATCTGAATCTGGGTCTGAGTTGGACATTTCACATATTGGAATGAGTTCTATTGGTGTTTCGCTTGGGTATCTTCTTTCTCTGGAGGAATCTGCACTGGAAGAGGTAATTCGATTCCGAAGTAAGTTCTTATCTCCTAGTCTATTACTTAGGTCCATTTATACTATAAGTCCTCCCTCCCTCCCTCTTCTCTCTCTCGTCCTGTGTGACTAATGAAAAAGGGTTTTCTTACCCAAAACGGTTTCCACATTTGTTTCGTATGAAAATATTTTCCAGGAAATATTTTCACGTGAAAGAATTTCTTATGTGGTTAGGTGTGGGAATATTTTCACACCAATTGGTCCCAATGCATCTTTTTACACCAATTGGCAGTTAATTGGTGTGAAACTATTCCCACTCCTAACCACATGAGAGAATTTTTTCACCAAACGTGGCCATTTATGTAGGAGCACATGGCTCCCTTTGCCCAGCGTATAATCTATTTATGAAATTGGATTCCCCAGACATATTTACTAATGTCTTTCAAGAATCAAATTCTAAAAAGGCTATATTTCCCCACCCACCCACACACACGTGTGCACACACATACATATGCACACACCCACCCACACTCCCACTCCCACTTCCACACACACCCACACCCACACCCACACCCATATACACAACAAAAACAGCAATCCTGTAAAAAATGGATGTAAGATTATTATATAAATGTCCCACAAATATTGATAGTTTGATACTGAAATTTTATCCGAAGATGGACTATGCAGTAATTAACATATCATATAAATTAAACTAGGGCAATGTAATCTGATTTGTGTTTTTTAGCATATGCTCATTAACTATGATTTTATCATGTTGATTTCAGAATCAGAAGACCTTCGGCTTCTTGTCATTGTCACAGGATACTATGATGACCAAAAGAAATTCAAGGTTCGGAATTAAAAGTTTCAAACTCTTCTTTGTAGACTAGTGCAAAAGGCCTATATCTTTTGTTGTTTATACGTTTTCATAGGACTGATTGATTAGTTTGGTTCAGAGGGAGCTCCTGCTATCATCTGTCACCAAAGAGCTTATGATGAGTTTGCTGGAGTTCCTTGAACTGAATGCATCCCGACTGCCACTGAAAATTCTTGATCGACCAGGTGGGTACCCTTGCTTGTTATGTATGCGTACTTATCAATATGGACCTAAATCTGAATGCTCCATTACTTTTGGACCTGCATAGACAGAGTGGTATGTATCCCGCGTTTGTGTATCAGCAGATACAGATATTATGCACATAATATTACATGCCAGTATCTGCATGTTCTGTGTTTGTGGATATGTATAATGTGTATGCATGCATTTATATCTGTATATGGTGGGTATGTATGTATATATGCATGATATGGATGTACGCTCGCTTGTGCTTGTGCGTGTGTGAGTGTCTGGGCGCTTGTGTTCCTGTAGATTCATTGAATGATCTTTTTTTCCCTTTATCTTTTTCAAGAAAAAGTGGATCTTAAAAGATGGATCTGGCCATATGATGTACATCCCATGTCAAAGTATTATTGGTCAGGGTTATGACAGTAATCAAAAGAAAGGGATGTTGTGGATATTTTGAAACTAGGTGGGATAGTCATTTCTAAAGATTATTTTAGGTTTCATGGTCCTTCTGTCTTGTGGGACTTATAATTATGTGTCAGTTAAATTTTCCTTTAGATGGAGATCATCATCATCATCGTTATCATCATCATCATCATAGCCTTTTCCCAACTAATTGGGTGCCTTTAGATGGAGATATAAGATGTTTATTTTGTTTGTGGAAGCTAAATGTCGATGCATCTCCAAGTTCTTACATGGTAAAATTGGAGTTTCCTTTTAACTAAACTTCCAAGCTACCCAAAGTCTTTAGAATTTTGACGTAGATATTTCTTAAAGAGGATTGAAAATGCCATTCATCTTATAGGGCGTTTTATAACAAGGTGCATCTTTCAAAATAAGGCTACAATATCGAATATGGTGGCCTTTTTTATTGGATTAGGCTTTACTTTTCTGGTGTATGCCAAAGATGCGGTGATGTACCTTATAATGTCAAAATTTCCTGATTTGATCAAACATTGGTGATTTTGATGTATTTTTGGTGGTCATTACATATTGGCATGATGGCCAATTTTTACAGAATTTGAAAAAGCATGTACCCTGTTATTTCTGTTTTTTTTTCTTCTGAAAAGCCATTGTATATGTTATATGCCCATTGTTTCTTGAATATGTTAATGAATAAAGAAAGCACCACGTAATATTCCTTATAAAGTCTGTTATTTATGATATTGTTTTCAATCATTTATAGTTTAAAAGTTAAAAGTTAAGTATTCCTTTTTTTTTTTTGAAAATTTGAACCCCAATGTATTGGCCGCTACCAATGTTCCAAAAAATGTTGCGTGGCACCTAGGCGGCTTGGGGGGTTCTGGGAACCTAGGTGCTAGGCAGGTGCCCAAGGTTGTGGTACACTAAACAGACTTACATGCATATATGTGTGCTCCAAACATGCACATATGCAGATATATTTATTACTCAAGTATATTTTTGCATTTACACACACACAAACCAAGTATCTATGCAAATATATGTGGTCAAATACTGAAACATATTGAATTCGTCATTGAATAATTTGAATCAAATTTCACTTTTCACAATTGCGATTAATCCATAGTATTAAAAGTAAGTTCATTAACCATCAACCACAAAGAACAACTAAGTAAAAGACTAAAAGTAAAAGATATAAATATACCAATATACAGATATAACTGAGATGCTGAAAGCAAAATTCCAAAAACTGAAATGGTACAAGTGTATATTGCTACTTCATAGACTCTAATCTTCGGACACATTCCAAAATCCAAAGTTAAAGGGAATTGAGCCTTCGATCTTCATTGTCTTCAGAATAATTGGCCTCATCGCGAGCACCTCCTTCCTAGTCAAGGCCATCATCTTCAGAATCATCACCCCATTCAACATAATGGTTCTCAATTTATTATGATTCAGCCTCCTCGTCCTATGTCTCCCTCCTCCTCTATGATCTAAGAGTAATGATTTTTTATCTTGTGGTCCTCCTAGGGTTGGAAGCGGCTCTAGCCTTGAAGCCTCCTCAACCATATCCCATCGTTTCCAACTTTCATTAATGAAGACCTCTGTAGTTTCAAAGTCTTGGACTAACTCAAATATTTGTATGCAACCTCTTCTCATGCCATTGGAACTCTCATTTGACCTTTGATTATACCTGATAGAGACTAAATCATTGAACCTCTTTTGCTCAAGCCCATTCCTTTTCTTTATATGCACCAATGTTGGCGGATTCTGCTGCCTAGGTGGCCAGAGCTCATGGCAGCCTAGGCGGCTGGGCAGCTGCCTCGGCAAGTGCCCGGATACTTGGGTGTCCTGTATAATGGGGGCCCAGCCACCTAGGTAGGCATCCAGTAACCTGGGCAGCTTATATAATGGGGGGGGCTCCAAGTCCTTGAGGATTATTGAAACCCCCCGATTTTTTGTGCATTAAACATTTTTTTTTAAAGAACATTGTTTTGTAGTTTTTTGCGTGTAATTTTATTGTGCAAATCAATAATTTTATTGTGCAGATCAAACTTATACATACACGACTTTGAATTGTGTATTGAATGACTAAAACATCGAAAGAGTGAAAATATCCCAAGACTCATCCACTATGCAACAGAGCCAAATAAGCCCACATTGCAACATCTCAATTACCAGCAAATGCTAATTTTCCATTACAAATCACATCTCACAAAAAAATTCGCAACTCAAGCAACATAAACTAACAAATCGCAAAAGTAGTCCTTAAATATAATAAGCCCAAATATGAGGTTGAGTTTCACGACCACCAACAATATCATGCCACCTCCATGACCATCATCAAATGCACCTGAGTTTGATGATCATCGTCATCATAGTCTTGGCATCATCATCAGAGTCGTCTTCCTCATATTCATCTTCTTCCCATGTCTCCTTTGGGTCTGCCTCCTCCTCCCATTGGCCTCTTTCCCTGGACCTTCACCTTCTTCCCCTTCCCTTCACCTTCCCCTTCCTTAGTGTTTGATCTGGCGAATACTGGTTCATTGGCGAATACTGGTTCATTGCCAACATCCTCCTCGCACAACCATTCACTCGATTCATCCATATCTTTCACGAGGATGGAGTCGATTATTTCATTCTGCCCTATATTAGATGTTTATTACATAAAAAAAATAGTGCAAGTTAGGGTGGTAGGAGATGAGGACAAATGGTAAATTCCCATCTCGAAGGTGCTGAAATTGCACTCGCATCCAGACGATGTATAGTCAAGTTAAAAATCCAGTGACACATCCTCTGCAAGTGAGCTGCACTGTTCATGGTTGGCCCACCATGAAACTACAATACACCAAAAAATAAATAGAGTGTCAATGTTCAAGAAGACAGAAACAGCCGCCCAGGCAGTTGGGTCGGTTGGGGTTCCCAACTGCCTGGGTGGCCACCTAGTGCACAAATTGACACTTGTTTAGGGTACTTGGGGGGGGGTGGGTTGACAAAAGTGGGGTGTGGAGTTGTCAACCATGGAATCTAATTTCTTAAAAACTGAAATTTACATGTTCAAGGTTTCAAAAAACGCTAGGTGGGGCCGGTCTGGTGTCCAGTGCCAAAACCTCAGGCACCTTGTGGCACAAATTCTTTAGATATACGCATATATGTGCTGTCCAAATGCACATATATGCATATATTTGTGTCAATTTTGTAATTTATTGCATTTGTATGTATTGTAACATACTTTTTTTAATATAAACATATCGCATGTTAAGAATAAATATGTTCAAAATTTAAATCACAAATTTTTTTAAAAGAGCGATAAGTCTAATGGTCTATGTTATTAGTAATAGTCTCCAACTCTCCATGTTCCGTAATAACATGGACTCCAGCTCTCCTACCTCCAATAACACCCTAAAAATAATTCCAATGAGAAAAAAAAGTTTAGGATGCTTCTTCAAACCACAAAAAGTACTTTTGATTCTCAGAAATAGGTATAGCTAAGAGATTTAAGGCTTATGGAGGTGTTCTTTTAACTTTGGGGGGATTGAAAATAACCCCCATAATCTATTTAAACTTTTTTGGCGGTCAAAATTGCCCCCTTTCCCCTTTGGGCACCTTTAAAAATTAAAAAAAATCCCACAGCCTTGGGCACTCGCCCAAAATTAGGCGCTGGGCACCTGCCAAGGTACAAGCGCCCAGAATGAGGCGCCTAGGCCCAGGCGTGCGGCTGGAGGTCTCTTGGGCACCTAGGCGAGCGCCTAGGTGCTCGGCAGACCATTTTTTAGAACACTGCATGTTTAAAAACTAAAACTATAAAATAGCCAAATTTTTGGCATTCATTAGCCATTTAAGCGAAAATACAAAGTCACATAACTTTAAACTGTGAAATTGCCCCAAATTTTGACATAAATGTACATCCATAAGCATTTCAAACATTACTTCAAACTTGAAAGTTTAAAAGCCTCAAGTGTCAACTTCAAACCACTACCCAAAAAAAAAATCCAACACATTGTAGAGTTCCAAAATCCAAAGTTCCAACATTCAAACAAGAGTATATGACTTAAAAAAGAATTAAATGATCATGAGCCCAATTGGGTTTCATTATCACGTTCAACAATGTCATCTCTTGTCTCTCCCATCAACATTCTATTAGACGATGATGATGATTCCCTGCCATCATCATCAGAATCATATCCCTCTGATGCATATTGGTCTTCTTCATCGGTCTCTTTTGAATCTTGTAGCTCTGACTCCTCTTCCTCCTCCCTCACTCTGTTAGGTTGTCCTTCCCCTTGCTCTTGGACCCCTTCCTATGAGATTGGGACTCCTTCCTTTGAGCTTGGGAACCCCTCCTTTGAAATTGAGAGTGTATGATCCTCATGGGGTCTGACTGAGGTCCCACAGCTTGCCTCACTTGACTACAGGTCAAGTCCTCTGCAGCATGTACGAGATCCTCATCTTCGGACTCTATCAACCACTTGCATGACTCATCCAACTCTTTAATTTCAATAGGATCAATGGAATCTCGATCCATGTGGCGTCCCTCAATTTCTGATTGTATTGAATGTACACAAGATCATTTGGTCTTTTGTGCTCATGTCTGTTTTTCTTTTGGTGTGTATCTGTTTCATAAATCATAATGCATATTCCATAAATAACTTAGAATCTAAAAATAAAATTACATTATCATAAACTTTAGAATTAGGTAAGTACTAAAATTGCACTCACATCTCGATGAGCTACATGTCAAATTGAGAATTCGTATAGCCATCCTTTGCAAGTGCTTAGCACTTGATCATTGGTCCTCCATGTACCTACATCACAATCTTAGATTTCAAAGAAATGAAGTAATAAAGAATAGAATAAAATTTTGTTAAACTTTCAACAAAGAAGATAAATTTAGCTTACCCGCCTTCAGAGTTATCCTTTGCCTTAGTTCAAGTTCAGTGCCAAGTGGCCCCAATGCCATTCTATAATTCTCTAGGTCTATTGACACCTTTTCTTGCTCTTGTACAATGGGGATGAGTCTGACCACACATGTATCGATGGCATCCATAAAAGAACCCTGAGTTTCAGTATGTGGATTGTCATAAAAATAAGCAGGGTTCAAATAGTAGTTTGCCAAGTGGAGGGGCTTCCCAAGCTTGAGTCCCACTCACTTTCTAGAATATCCAAAATAGGCCTTTTGAATTTATCATTGTGATCAAAATTTTGCTTAATCTCCTTGGTAAATTCCATGGCCTTGTAAATATGGCCCCATAGCAGTCTCCTTCTCTCTATCTACTATGCAAAACTTTAACAAGTGGCTCGAAGGCTTTAATTGACCAATCAACTTGCTTACAAAAGGTGCTTGATATGACAATATCAACAACCTTCCTCCCCTTTGCATGTAGACCACTTCAATTAGTTTTACTCATTAGAAACAAACATTTTTATTGAATTATCTTTTTCGCTCTGAAGCGATTTCAAGCACAAATAAGAGGTGACGAATCTAGTTATCCCTGGTCTCACTAACCCATTCTTACAAAATTTTCTCATCAAAGCCGTGACATACCGCGCATAGGGTCCAAAAAATGTGCGGCTTCTTTTTCTCAAGCTCCCTACCAGCTACCATACTATAGGCAGCCATGTCAGTAACCACCTGGACTACTGCTCCCCCACCTCTATACATTTCTCAACCAACTCCAAAATGAATGAAGCATCATGTTCTTTATGAGATGTATCAATTGAGCACAAAAACATTGTGCCCAGTGGACAATTTACATCTAATTCATTACACTTCTATGCCTCTGGTCAGACCATCCATCAGTTTATGGTTACTCCAAGCCGACCCCATGCATCCCTATGAGTCTTGAGATACTCATTGGTCATTTTTAAATAGAGGCCCCTTGAGCTCATATAGGGTAGGAATTGTATATCCACTGCTTCACTATGGCTTGTAAGCTCTTCAAGAGATGCTTGCTTGGTAAATTCACCTGGCCACATACTGATCTACTGTTTCTTTTCGATCCTCTTTTAGATGGCTATCAGTTGTAGTTTGGCCCTTTCCTTGAGCTGCAACAGCAGCATCAGAGGGGGCAAAATAAGAATTCATAGGCCCTACACTACATCGCTTACTATGCCCGATCTCCACATCTATTATTGGCCTTGCCCTACTTTCATACTCCTCTTCTCTTTGGTTCCAAATATCTTATGATCTCCTAATATTATCCCTTTTTCTTTGAACTCTTCTTTCTTCTTCTTGAACCCTTTTAGAAGCCCCAACATCTCATTCCTTACTTCTACTGAAACTTGCATGCAAGGTGCAACATGCCTTTTTATCCCGAACAAATGCTTCCTGAATCTATTACTTCCGGATGAATAGATTCTCTTACAATAATTGCATTGAATCTTTTGTTTGTCCAATGGATTTGGGCATGTCCCATGCTTCCACCTCGACTCAATTTATTTCCCAGTTGAACAAGAAGAAGACATTGTGATTCTGTGAAAATGAGTATGTGCCAATTGACAACTCAAGAATCGGCACTCAAGATAACCTGAAAGTACAGAAAAGCTCAATTTAGTCAAACTTAAGCAAACATTATTTATTATGAAATATGAAATTTCAGTTTACAAGTTGAAAACACAGCTAAACATATTACTCAATGCATGTAATATTGTCAAATTTCATATTACAAATTGAAAACATAGCAAAAAATATAGAAACATATAGTAATATTTTCAATTTTGCATTACAAATTAGTCAACTTTTCTCAATTTTTTTTTTGCATTATAATCTATAAACATAAGCAAAAAAATGCAAAAATATATAACAAGTATGTGATTTTGCATTATAAATTATAAACATAGCCAAACATAACAAAAACAATATAGGCAAACATTTATTATAAATAAATTTGCATCATAGAATGGAAATACATCCAAACATACCTCAAAAGTATATTATAAATTTTTGATCTTGCATTAAAAGATAGAACCAAAGCCAAATATATCCAACAATATATCATAAATTTTTTTATTTTGCACTATGAAGTAGAAACATAGCCAAACATACCTAAACACATGTTATAATCACAAAAGTAGCTAACAAATCCTTCAAAAAAAAATAACAAAATTCGAGTAGTTTCCATAAATGTGATGCCAAAATTCAAATATAAACACAAGAAAATTATCTAATACATAATGCCAAAATTCAAGTACAAATACAAGAAAATTATCTAAAAAGAATATCATAGTACAATACTAAAACAATGAAACCCTAAACATAAACATTTAAATCTACTGACCTTTCAAAACGCAATTGAAGTAGGCTTCAATCGCTTACTTTGGGTTGCTAAAACCTCTCTTTTGCGACTTTTTTAGCCTCCAAAAAGACCCTTGTCCAATGGCTTTTGATATCAAAAGATCGAAAACATCAAGTTCGAAATTGATTTTAAAAAAAAATCCTATTCAAGGTAAAAATGCTGAGATTAGCCCACTAGCTCATATGACATATGAGTTTATATGAGCCCCATGGCCCCGATTGAATCTGGGCCGATCTTACGGTCATGACTTAATTTTGTATTTTAATTTTTATTTTTTCTATAAATCCAAATAACTTGAAATTTTAAGCGTGTGTTCTTCAAAAATAGGATAATGTAATAAAAATATCAAAAAAATAATTTACAGGAAAGAAATGGAGTAAAATACACTTGAAAGTTTTGGGGTATTTTGGTCAATTTATTTATTGCGATTTAGTTTTTAAATATTTTTATTAGGTGCCCCTTGATGAGAAGAATGAACGCCTAAAATTGCAAGCTATTTGGATTTGTATAAAAAAATTAAAATTCAAACATGAAATGAGGTCATGACCGTCTAATCGGCCCAGATTCAGTCTAGGCCGTTGGTCTCATATGTTCGTATAAGCTATTAGGCTAATCTCAAAATTTTCTACTAAAAAATGACATGGATGGATGTTGTGAGAAACCATATGGGGACTTATGGTCTTCCTGATGGTATGACCCTTGATAAAGTAGAATGGCTGAACATGATTCGTGTAGCGGACCCCAAATAGTTGGGATAAGGCTCTGATGAGGATGAAGATGAAGGGGAAATTGAAGTGATGCAAATGGATTCCGTTGATGTTCTGAGAGGAATTGATTCCCCAAAGCCTGAATTGCAAAAACCATATTTCCATGACGGATTCTGCTCCAAATCGCATCTAGCAGTTTATTTTGGCTCCCGGGATGAAATTGTCATTTTCCAGATCTTTTGGTCACCAAATCCTAATCATCATTTTTAGGATTTGTTTTGGTCACTAGGATGAATCTGTCATTGTATCTTTGTTTTCAGCCCTGGGATGAGTTTGTCATTTTCTCTTTGTTAGTTGGTCATTTTGGGATTTGTTAAGGTCTAGGGATTTGGTGTAGAGACAAGTAATTTATTGTGTGAAAGTTTCCATGAGTTGAAGGGTCAAAATGTGTGGTTTCAATGCTTAGAAGTTTGGTTTCATGTATGGGAACGTGGATACATGAAAGTTGCATGGAATTATGGGTTATAGGCACATGGGTAAACTAGTCCTTTTCATGCTTTGTTGGGGGTATTTTAGTTATTTTCTAGTTTCAGCAAACTGGTTTATATATATGGAACATTGTTATAACAGTTAGCTAGTTTTTGTTGTTAACTTGATAATGAAAATCTTCTTCCTCCTCATTGGTGAAGAGAGAGAGAGAGAGAGAGAGAGAGAGAGAGAGAGAATTCCCGTCTTTGTGTACCTCGAGTACCTTGGGTTGGAAGGCCACCCTTGTGTTCTGCGAGGACCTCAAGTGGCAAGAGTTAGGGCTGAAGATCCCTTCCTCTTGATTCCCTTGATCAAGATCAAGGAAGCCAGGTTGTTGTTGCACAATCAGCCTAGTATCTTTATTTTCTGGTACTGGTTTGCACCATATTCTAACTCTTATTAGAACCCATTGAAGACTTCGATATAAGGAAGGAATATCAAATATGGAGATATTTGACTAACCTTTGTCGCCCAATCTTTGATCCTTGATGTTTTGGATTGATCAAGCTCAAATTAGTAAAAATGTCATTTTGTAACCTCCATTGGTGGTCAAAATAACTTCTGTAAAACAAAAGTGAGATCTGGGATGATTCTCGAACATTTCATTTTCTTTTCAATCTCAAAAAAAAAAGGACTAAATCAAAATTTTGAGCCCTTTTTTTTTTTTCTTTTTTTTTGAGGGGAGGGGGGCTTTGGTTACTGCTAGATCGCAACACCCCCCCCTCCAAAAAAAAAAAAAAAATGCCTTTTTTAGTAGAAACATGAATATTTTTTTCCCTTGCCTGTGGGCATTTTCCAACCTAATGCAAGGGCTTTACTAGGTGGATACTTAGGTCTAGGCACAAGGCATCTGAATAGAACAATGGTCAGGATGCCTTTGGCCTAGACGACGTGTCCTGACCCCTTTCTGGGGCGTGGTGGCCTTTTAGGCGTTAGGCACATTGTCCTTTACCGTATTAATTTTGATTCGGGCCTCAGCATGCTCTTTGTATGCTGGTATTTTTTAACCCTGATAAGGGAAAAGTAGTATTTACCCTGTGAAATTAAGGGGTTTAGGAGCTGCAAAATCCTTGCTCTTATATAAAGTGGCTGTTTTTGTCTTACATTTGACTTTTGTGTGGAAGTAATTTAGTTATTTCATATAATTACCCTTATTCCAGACCATGGTGGTAGTTAGGGCTGCCAAAGGGGCCGGGCACGAGGCCTATTGGGTCGAAAGGGTAGGCTTAGACCTGGCTTGGCTTAGGAAAAGTGCCCTGACCTAGCTACAAGTGCTCGAGCTGGGCTCAGGCCAAGTGTGATCTGCGCAAACCTGTCTTATTCGCCGCCCTAGTAGTGTATGGCTGCCAATAGCCAATAGGGCTGGCCCGGCCCATGGGCTTCCGGTCCTGGCCAGGTTGCCAATGAGCTGGTTTCATGCTGGGCACAGGCAGCTTAACAGAGCTACAGGCTTGGCCCAGGCCCAATTGTAAAATTTGGGCCAAGGTCGGGCCACCCTTAACCAGGCTCAAGCCTAGCTCGTTGGCAGCCCTAGTGGTAATCTGTGATTTGAACTTTTCAAAAGTTATCCTTATCCAATAAAACTTTCATATTTTAGTCACGTTGACTTGCTCGAGTCAACTTAGAATGGCCACTAAGCGAGATTGAAAATGAAAACTCGGTTGGACAAGTTTTTGTAAAATTTTGATAAATTTTTACAAATGTTTTTGCAAATTACCAATATAAATGTGGTGGTAATTCAGATGTTGTTTGCCAGGTCAAGTCCTTAAGGATACCTCTCAGTTATTTTCTGCGACTAGGTTCTCTCTCTAGATCCTCAGTTATGTTCTCATATTTTATTCTAGTTATGCCGTTCATCTCAACTAAAATAGCTATTTCTTTTTATTTAAATATTAGTTATATAGTGAAATTTGAGTTGATATTTGATATTTTGATTTGTTACATTAGTATATTCACTCAAACATAACAAAAGTTAGTGAAATGTAATAATATACTACTCATTATTAGAATATAATGCTTCACTTAACCCTATGAAATTTATATAGATTTTTCTGCTTTTTCTTGGATTTTTAAAAAAAATTGGAGAAAGTTGTTGACTTTTTTTGAATAGATGAGTTGACTTGGTTTTTTTTTTTTTGTCAGGAACCTAGTTTGAGTATGTAAACACTGCCTATTATTGATATCTAGAATAGATTTTTCTGTGCTGAGATGATTCAAATGTTCTTTATATTTATAAAAGTTCTTAATCACTTTTAGACATTAAAAGTTTGAGCCTTACATCTGGATACTATATATGCAAGCACAATTTTGCTTTAAAATTAGATTGCTGTGCTCCTTTATAAAATGTATAAATTGATCTTTAGAGATTTGTGAATGGTATAGATCATGTTAGATCTAAGCAAATCTATTCTATATACAGGCTATTATGTTTACAAACTTGAGCCAACTGACCATGAAGGACCCTAAAATTGTGGGCATCAAAATAGATTTACAACCAATAGACATCAAGTGTTTTTTTAACTCGTAATTATTTTTCACAATCTCCAACTTGAAATTATATACATTGTATTTCAGAAAATCAGCAATTGCAGCTACAATGGTTGTCTTACTAGTTCGGGGTGGCCCATGTATGAGATAGCTTATCATCCATGTCATCCCATATTTAGTGCAAATATTTTCTTTTGATGTAAGCATGCTAAGATCATGAACTAATTGATTTTTTCCATCCGATTTAATGACAATGTTTCCCATACTACGTGGATTAGAAATTGATTTGCAAACCACAATGAACTCTTACCTGCAAGAACCCTGCTGGTGTAAAATATCATAGGCTGTGAAGTCTCAACACTCCACTCAAAATAAAAGGCAAATATGTGTCTCTAACAAGGGTTATGTGGTTCTTGTGGAAAGAAAGCTTAGAATGTCTTACTTCCTGATCTGGAAGGAGAATGTAAGGTTCAATAGAATGAGACATTGTTGAAGACATCTCTTATAGATTGATTAGGGTGGAAACAAAATGTTTACAAGTCACGATCTGAATCTATGCTAACTATTTTGACTATTTTTTAATAGGAAAGAAAATACATTTCAAGATAGGAATTAATCTTTTGAAATGATTTGTTGTAAACTCCATTTTGACGTTCATCTATTGCAATGGATACATGTAAAAAATTGGATGCATGTGGAAAAAACAAAGAAAATATGTGGATGGTTACCCGGTTGATGGCTTGTCTTAAGGATGCAAGGATTGAGGGTGATGAGAGTACTCATTTCATAAGGTTTACCAACCATGTGGCCAAGTGAGTAAGAGCAATCCACTCTAAAGACTCATTTGGGTACCTAGATACTACTCTCTGAGATAAGGGTATCCAGGTTTTCTATGTGTTTCTCTTGTTTGGATACCTCACCAGCGCGTGGATGGGAAGCCAATTTCAAGAGACACCTATCTCAGGACAGACTTCTCCAGGTACCCAAACAGGCCCTAAAGGCATGGATGAGTCTAAAAAACGAGGGAAAGATAAAAGTAAGAGAAGGTAGAGGGAGAGAACTTAAAGGAGAGAGAGAATGCAGATAGAGAGAGAACGAGATAACCCAGATGGAAGAAAGGGAAGAAGGGGGATAAAGGGAGAGAACCGAGGGAGAGAGAGAGAGCAAGAGAGAGAAAAGGGAACACAAGAAGGCTAGAAGGAGGGAGGGAGGGAGAGAGAAAATGGAATGCCCGGAAACTAGGAGGGAGGGAGTGAGAGGAAATAGCGTAGAGAAGGGAATGGAGGGGAGGGAGAATAAGAGCACCTAGAGCAAGGAAATAAATGGATGGACAGAGAATGCATGAGAAAGTAGAGAGAACACAAATGAGAAAGAGAGAGAGCATAGAAGAAAGAGAAGAAATGTAGAAGAGAGAAAGATGAGAAGACAAGATAAAGGCTGTCCAAATTAAAGGCTAAAGATCAGAAAAAATTGAACTCATACAGGACATACAGATACTCTCTCTTTTGTCGAATCACAACTTGTCCTTTCAAGCACTCACCTGTCACATCAATAACAGATATTATAGCTATTAAGTAAACCCAAACTTTCTTTTTAAGAAAGACAAAGCGTTCCATTTCTCTCTCCCTCCCTCCTTGTCTCCTTGCGTTCCCTTTTCTCTCTCCCTCTAGTCTGCTCTCTCCTCTTCTCTCTCTCCTCCTGTCCTATCTATCTCCCTCCTTTTTCTTCCATCTGGTTATCTCGTTCTATCTCTGTTTGTGTTCTCTCTCTCCTCTAAGATATTCTCTCACTCTCCCCTCTCGTTTTTCTTTCCATCGTTCCTTAGACTCAACCATGCCTTTAGGGCCCATTTGGGTTCATGAAAGAACCTATCCTGGGGATAGGCTTCTTCTGGAATTGACTTCCCTATCCACCTGTTGGTGAGGTACCCAAACAGGAGAAAAACCTAGATAATCTTCTTTCAGAAAGTGATATCTAGGGACTCAAAGAGGCTTTTAAAGTGGATTGCTCTTACTCACATGGCCATATGGTTGATAAACCTTATGAAAGGAATACTCCTATCACCTTTAAGACGATCCGTCAACCAGGTAATCATCAGTATCTTTTCTCTTTTTTTTTTTTTTCCACATGTATCCATTTTTCCAAATGTATGCATTGCAATAGACGAGTATTAAAATGAAATTTACAATAAAGCATTTCAATGGATTAATTCTTATCTTAAAGTGTATGTTTTACCCATTCAAGAGCAGTCAAAATAGTTAATACAGATCCACATTGTGACCTGCGGGCATTTGTTCCCACCCTGATCAGTCTGTAACAGATGTCTTCCACAAGAACCATGAGCCCTTGTTAGAGACATATTTGCCTTTTATTTTTGAGTGAATGATTAAATTCCAATATTGAAATGTATTGTTTTGCCCATTACCGATCCACATCATGACTTGTGGGCATTTTGTTCCTACCCTGATCAGTCTATAATAGATGTCTTTCACAAGAACCATGAGCCCTTGTTAGAGATACATATTTGCCTTTTATTTTACGCTAATGAGGTTCTTGAGGTTGAGTGTTCAGTGTGGTTTGCTAATCGATTTTTCCATCGATGTAGTATGAGAAAGATTGCCATGAAATTGGATGAAAACAATCGATTAGTTCATCATCTTAGTAGGTTTATATCAAAAGAATGTTTTTGCACCCAATATAGGATGACACGGATGAGAAGTTATTTTATGCATGGGCCACTCTGAGTTAGTAAGACAACCATTGTAACTACAATTGCTGATTTTCTGAAATAAAAGTTAGAGTTGGAGATTGTGAAAAACACTTACGAGCTAAAAAACTCCTGAGGTCTATTGGGCGTAAACAAGACATCGATGGATATGTTTTTAGGGGAGAAAAAGAGAATGAAGTCTTGTCACATATCGGGAAAGAAGAAGAAAATAATACTGAGTTAGCGAAATCGTTATCTTCACTATGAGCTCAAGAAAGAGAGAGAGTTGATCCTAGTTGACTAAGTAGGATTGATATGGACATCCTTCTCTCTTACCTTAATAGAAAAGAAGAAGTAGATTTATTAGTTGATTTTTTTTCACAAGAGATTGACAACTTGGAATTTAACTAGGGGCAAATTTCAAGGAACATGGAAAAGTTGAAAAATCATACGCTCAATTTTGAGATCCTTTATGGTCAGTTGGCTTGCGTTTGTAAATAGGATAGATTGTTTATAGAATAGATTTGTTTGTAAAATGTATAAATTGATCTTTAATGATTCGTTAATGGTTTATATAAGTATATAGAATAGATTTGACTGTTGAATGACTAGGAACATGAGTGTTGTCATCATCCAAACAACGAATTGTTGATGCCATTGATTGAGAAACCACTCAATCGGGTTCGCACCCGATTCGCTTTGACTTGGTACGGTGCCGGTCCCGAATGACTAAACCTAGAAACTGGGTAAGTTTGACCCGGGTCCTAAGAAATACATATGCTTCATGTATTTTTTAATCCAGACAGGTCCGACTTGGCCTAGCTAGTCACTGACTCAGGCTTGGGTCCCAGGTGAGTCAAAGCAGAAGCCTGGGTTTTTAAACCCTGGTTGATGTGATGGAGAGAGGAGGACCTACCATGGGAGATTTCATGTTGTGGTGGGTCCTACTATCACCCTTCACTAGCCTTCCATTTGATTGGATGAGGATGACACTTGTATAATTCATAGTATACTGTCCTATTGTTCTGTCATTTTGGTCAATTTCCTATAGGACATGGATGTAATAAACCATGGGCATATGGTATTTTGTTCACTCCGCATCCACAGTCCATTGTTCACTCCGCATCCACTGTCCATTTCCCACGTGTACGGCAGAGATGAACTTTACTTCCCAGTGTTGGACATTTGTGTGGCTGCCATAATCTGCACCATCCATTTTTCAAACAGATGGTAGATGTCCTGTGTATCAGTGGTACATAGTGACATCTTCCTTTCATATAGAAGTTAGTCATTATCACAATAGAGAAAATGACTCTTACATATTATGTGGGTTCTAGGTGCCTTGCTCCTATCTGCTTGGATCAGTTTTTAGTGAGAAACATTTCTACCACTTCTTGGATCAGTTTTAGTGAGAAACATTTCTACCACTGTTCTCTCTCTCTCTCTCTCGTTTATTTATTTCTACCTCTCTCTCTCTCTAAGTTCATTGCACCTGTCTGGTTTGATCAGTGCAAGGGAGCAACAGTTTCTACAATTCTCTTTCAAAGTGCATTCCACCTGCCTAGTTTGGTCAGCTTATGGGTGCAACATTTCTTCAACTGCTGTGTGTGTGTCAAAAGATATATAGAAGACTTATTTTGATGTATTTCAGGGTTCATGGATTATGTCAGAGCATTTGAAATCAAGAACAAAGTTACATCGAGAACGACCATTGAGCGGCTTCTTGAAGAATTCGCTGTGTCGCTGCGGCATGGCGGCCATGACTACAATGAATTTGTCTAATCATTACACATTTTTTTAATATTCCATGCAATAATAACTCCCAAAATTCCGAAGTCCCTTAGAGCTTCTCTCTCTCTTGATATATATATCCATGCTCGGGGGTCTCTTTTTATATATGTATATGTGTCTGAGTCAGTGTAAGCTTGCATGTATATATATATTCGAAAATCTTTAAATTGTCGTTTAGATAATTATATCAAGATACACTATTTTAAGACTTGAAATCGTTTTTTATTTTCTTGGGGTTGATATGATCAATTAGAGGGATTTCTAATGCTTGAAAGAGCAAGGTGTACCTCAAATCCTGTCGGACTATGTAGTTTACCTCGAACCCTTTTATGAGAGACTGAAAATCTATTTTCACCCTAATCAAAGATCTAAAAAAAGCGTATATTTGAAAAATCTTGTAAATGGGTTGTTTCGATAATGTATTATGTAAGATTCACTTTTTTTTTATATCCATACATCTTAAGGTTGAGATGATCAATATAGAATTTTTCAATATCGATATAACTTTTTTTTTTTTTTGCAGATGCATGTTGGCACTATTAGATTTTAAAATATTTGATTTATTTAAGTTAAAGCATATGCTAAGTTTGGAATGGACTCAAGGATAGTTGATTAGGGTGGTGTGTTGTTAGGTTTTTTGAGTTTCATTCTTATCATGGGTGGAGCATTCCTCCGTTGACCAAAAAAAAAAAAATTTGAGTTAAATTTAAGTTTAATTATGTACTTCAATTGATTTGTTTAACAAATACGCTTAGATATAGTTCTACTAAGTGAATGCCTTTCATACAACTGCTGTGTTTAGCTCATGTGCCTAACTATATACAATGCGACCATTTATTTTTTAGAACTAGGATGTCACAATCACTCTTAACCATGCAGAATTTGGTGCTTTAGGGTGGGCAAATGACCCAATTTAAGCTCAAAAACATTTTAATTATGTTACACAATAAATTGTCATATTTCACATTTGATGGTTAAATGCGAGTGCGACTTAATATCAATGTTATATAGTTCTCTATATCTATACTTCATTAGAAAGTCATAAGTAAAGGTTGTGCATGTATCACAAGAATAAGAAAGAACTCTATATAAAGAGTGACCTTCAAATAAAAGAGTTTAGAATTCTATTCTCCTCATTTATGAGAGAGAAATATGGACAAAAAATTGATACGTAACGCGAGAGAGTTAGTATTTCCGAAGGTGATGATATGGCCATGTATTTTGACGGGGAGAAGAAAGAAAGGAATATGGTGTTTTGGAATAATTTTCTTACCATATGGGGAGAGAGATCATTAAAGACATAGATAAAGAATGTGGAGAGGGAGAGAGAGAGAGAGAATTAAGAAGAGAGATTATTCGACGCCAAGGACTTTCGCTCTTCTTCTCACTCTTACCTTATCATTCCCTTCTTAGCAGGTAATGTTTGATAAAGAATATAAAGTTCTTTTGTTTCTGTTTTCTAATTTCAAAGTTGTTATTTACTTTCCTGTCTTTCTCTGTATTTGCATTCGTTTTAGTTGTTTATAAAATTTTCCGATTCATATCTCATTCTTAGTGACACCACCTCACTAACACTTTCAAAAAAAACTAATTCCTAAACTATTTGAAAAAACAGCACCGGTAGAGTAGAGGCCTGTCTTCCCCTCTCAACTAAAAAGAGAGCAAGGATATGATAACATGCTTTATGGTCTGTGCAATAGAAAACCACATTGTAATTATTGCAATGTATTACGTTGTTGACCTTTAAAGGGAATGTTCATAGGAAATATTCAATAAATTCTAATGACGATTCATTTTCCTGTTTTTCTATAATTTTTTTTAACTGTAAAACGTAATACTTTCCTTTTCAAATTTTTATGAATTAAAAATATGTTTGGACGTATTTTCAAATTTCTGATTGCAAACTTTGAAATGCTTCTGGGATTTATTAAAAAATATGCAATGGAAACCATCTTCTCTTCAATTTTTCCTTCGCTTAAATATTTTTTATTTTTTGAAAATTATTTACAACTAATTTTTATGATTTTTAAATAATTAAAATTTTTCTCATGAATTTCTAGAACTTCAAAAGTAAAAATATAATATGCTATCTTTAATACGGAAGAAATTCATTTTTTAAAGAGCTATAGTTGTTTATTTTTCTTTATTATTAAAAATTCTGAATTATCAAAAAAAAAATCATTTTCTGGTTTTATACCTCCTAAAATTTTTTATTAGAAGTTTTTTGTCTTTCACTAAGAAAAATAGACTTTTAATCTATAATTATTTGTCTTCTTAAAAATATTTTCCTGATATTTCAAATTTTAGTACCATTTTCAAACATTTGTAAATATTTGTTTTTCCTTGGCTAGATAAAGGAAATCATCTTTATTGTCTGTTATGGAAAATTTAATGAATTTAAGTCAAAATTTTATCCTTTAAAAATAGTTTGTAACTAATTTTTAATTTTTTATTGTGCACATTCGAAAATTGATAAAATTTAGTCAATTAAAAAAAAAATAGTTTGTTACTATTTTTTAGTTTTACCTACCATTATTGTAAAACTTTTTACCTACCGTTATTGTAAACCTAGTTTTACAGTCAGTGGCTATTGTTGTACTAAAAGTAGTGCGTCTCATTACATACTTTCTATTTAGGGGTGCTAATCGTGAGCCAGGTTCAGGTCCGGGTTCATGTTTTGGACTCGATAGGTCCGGTATGGACCCTATTTTGTCGGGTTCGGGTTGACCCTACTAGACATGGCATAAAATTTGTAAAAAATATTAAATATATACTAAATACATGAAATAAGTTTTTTGTTTTTCATTTTTGAACTGCTAGACTCCGGCCCCGGTCAAGTTTAGGTCCAAATGACTTCGACCCAAACACGGTCCAAGGAGACTTAGTCGGGTTGGGTCCAATTCTTGGGGCGACCCGGAGCCTACACGACCAATCCCATTGCCACCCTTATTTCGATTAGCAAATAAATATGAAATGAGAAGGATAAATAGCTTCCTATTGTTAAGTGTACTCTTTAAGATCATCCATGGATAGAACAATAGAGTGGGCACATAAATGTTAAACCCCACTTTGTATTCTTGATCTAATGGATCATTTAAAGATGCTTAAGTGATGTCTAGAGAGAGAAATTGAAAGAGAGTGCCTGGTTCTAGCCTTGAGAAAAGAGTCGAGGAAGTGGAAGTATGAGAGAAATAAGAGCTAAGTGGAACTTAGACAACTAGAAGCTGAATTTCCCAGAAGTTCTGGAGTATAGAAGTTGGAACTTCCCCACTGAATTACCAAAAAAAAAACAAACAAACAGTACTGTGCAAAGCAGAGGGACGAGGAAGGTGAACCACCTTCTTCTGATATAGATGAACCAGTTTCTTTAGCACAAAAGATTTCATGCTCGCATGGGGAGTATGCAATCTATCCACTGCTTTCTGGAAAAATTCATTTTAGGAATATTTTTTTTATCCCAAATTTTGGGGATGTAATATGAGCAATCTCAAAGGGAAAAAATAAAATAAAATTGTACTCTCCTTGTACCAAATAAAAAACAAAAACTGACAATCTCAAGATTGAACATAAACCATCCAGCTGTTTAAGGGAAAGATCTAGATGTTTTAGAATACAAAATCCAATTTTTCCTTGATTATAGTTATAAAGTGATATCTAGATGGATCCCAAATTTTCATATGTATATATATATATATATATATAAATAAAAGAAATGAGGCACCTCTTAAAAATCTATTTTAAGTTAAATTGGATGGAATTTAACTTAAAATAATGGAGCTAAGAGAGGAGTGGACACCCAAAATTTGGTGTCAAAATATTTTGTAAAGATGTTTAACTTTAAAAAATATCAAGTATATTCACATATTACAATAGCACTCTCTTTCAATTTCTCTCTCTAGGCATCACTTAAGCATCTTTAAATGATTGATATTATGGCTGTGATATTGTTTTAAGTTAAATATCACAACCATAATATCACAGTCATTTTTTCTTTTTATGATAATACCTTTGATATTTTAGAATAAAACATGGGGTATGATGATTTGGCTATCACCGACCCCACAACAGGGACCTTTATTAGAATATTATCGCCCTTGTATATCTGGTAGAAGGATTATTACCAATACCTCAATATGTTAAATAAATTTTATTAACATTAGTAAAGTGAATTTGCATTATGATAATTACAAACATAAATATTTTTAACAATTTTACAAATGAGAATATTGACGATATTCTCCTGTATATAGTAAATTTGAAACATCAAAGCTCATTATCCAACTTAATAGCTTACTTTAAGCTTTACTTTAGAAAAAAGGGTTTTTTTTTTACATACGGACAAGGTAAAATTACCGAATTTAGCCTTTGGTCCATAATTTTATTTTTTAAAATTTTTTTGCCATGTTTCAAATATTAAACCTCTTTTTTTACCATTATTTTTATTTTTTTAATATTTTTGAAGTGATCCAATACTTTAAATATATCAAACTGCCCTATTTGTAGAGTGGTCCAATAATTGCAACATCATACTGCTCTACATTTTATTCCCATCATTGTTTATAGAGGTGTTTGATAAACATCATACCGCAATTTTCATAATTTTTTTTATAGTTTAGCAGTCTGAGGTTTTGAACATCGGATCGCATATACTCAGGAAAGAAAAGTTCAAAAGCGGTGGAATGTTTGAAAGCTCTGAGGTCTAAAATATTAAAAAAAATAAAAATAAAAAATAAAATGTCATTGCTTGACGCATCATGGGGGCAAAGTTAGAAAAATAACAAAAACAGGGAAATAAGACCTCGCTGTAAAATTACCGAACTTAGGTAAATTAGCTAATTTCACCCGTTCCATATGTGCAAATCCACACTATGCTTCTACGGGAACATTGTACTATACATTTACTCCCTCAGGTAGATGGCTAACTTAGGAAAAAAATTTCATTGGAAATTATAAAAATCAGTATGTGATTATGTTTAAAATGAAAAAAATAAAATTTTGGCTTTATAACACTTTGATCTCTCCTCCAAAATTGGATAGTTGCTATTCAATCTTGAGGTATTAATTTTTTCAAGCCCATAGAGAATGTAATTTGAAAATTAATGTCATCTAATACAACATATAGATTGAAGAGGTTAACATCGTCAAAATTTGTGATCCTAAAAATACAAGGAGATTAGTT